ATATGATGATTGCTCTATAGTAGATTCATTTTACATTTTTTAGAAACCTCCATATTGTTTTCCATAATAGCTGAGCTAATTCACATTCCCAACACCATGGAAGGCTTCCATTTTCTCTACCTCCTCCCCAGCACTTGTTATCTTTTTGATAACAGCCATTCTTACTGGAGTGAGGTGATATCTCATGGTTTGATTTGCATGTTTCCTGTGATTAGTGATGTTGTACCGTTTTTCATACCTGTATGGAAAAACCTGTATGTTTCCATTGAAGAAAGGTCTATTTATATGTACTGCCCATTTTTCAATTGGGCTATGTTTCTTTGCTATCAAGTTTTCTGAGTTTCTTACATCTTCTGGATAGCAATCCTTTGTATAGTTTGAAAATACTTTTCTATAGGTTGTCTCTTCATTCTGTCATTGAGACTACAGATGCACACCATGGTATCTGGCTCTATATGAATCTTAGGACTGTTTTTCTAGTTTTGTCAATAATGTCATTGGTATTTTAATAGGGATTACATTGAATCTGCAGATCATTTTCAGTAGCAGGGACATTTTAATAATATTGATTTCTTCATTAATATTTTTAAATCTTTATGTCTTTAGTTTAAAAAATACCTTCCAAAGCATCTATCATGTTATTAAATTATCTGAAACCCTAGGAGTCTAAGTCTTTTGTTTTAGAACATAGACTTTCACTCACAAAGAATTACTGTGTCATTATTTTATAATTTATTGGGGACTTTATTTATGGGAAACCCAGGCAGCCTGGATGGGGAGTGGATTCCCGCAGTGGTCTGCGCTTGCTTTTGCCAGGTACCTACTGGGATTACKACTCAAGTTCTAATTTCTATGCAATTTTTTGCTTATGGTTTCCTAGTTTTAAAAATTCAAACCCCAATCATGACTGTTGTGCTGTATTCCTGATTAAAATTTTTCAGCAGAAACATTTTTCTCCTCCTGAAGCTCAGCTTGTTTGTGTCTAGAGTTTGTGTTTCTTAGTCCATTCACTGGCAGCATGGCCTTTGGAGGATTCCATTGCCAGCAGAAGATCTGCAACTCAAGCCTCAGGACTCTATTAGCCCTTGTTTGCTTCAGGCTCCTGAACTTCCCTCACATTTTTGTGAGATTGGCCAGGTGCGGTGGGGCATGCTTGCAATCTCAGTTGCTCAGGAGGCCGAGGCAGGAGGATGGTGCGTTCAAAGGCAGCCTTAGCAACAGTGAGACACCAAGCTACTCAGTGAGATCCTGTCTCTAAATAAAATACAAAAATAGGGCTGGGGATGTGGCTCAGTGGTTGAGTGCCCATGAGTTCAATCCTCAGTACCTCCCCGCCCCACCCCCACCCCCCCCAAAAGAAGATACTTGTTACATCTTGCAAGTTTTTCTAGGTATTTGGGGTGGAGGATGGAATTTCAAGTTCATCCATTCACTGTGTAACCAGAACTAAAAGGTCTCTTGCCCAGAATTGTAAGTATGTAAAAACATCAGCAAGTTTACACCTGTAAACCCAGCTACCTGGGAGATTGAGGCAAGAGAATCACTCGAGCCCACAAGTTTGAGGCAAGTGTAGGCAACCTGCCTCAACCTGCCTCAAACAAACAAACAAACAAACAAACAAACAAAAATCAGCAAGCAATGAAAACTGAGATCAGAAATGAAGCCTCTGAATAATGATAATGCAGCAAAATTCTGATTTTAGCAAAAAGCTGACCTACATAAATCTATGAACTCTGATGACAAAAAAGAATAACAGAACCCATAACACAAGTTTGGAGGGGTTAAATGTTTATTAAACCAAGCTTTAAATCATACATCCACCTACCGTCTGTAAACAAATACAGTCCACGTGTAAGTAAATGGGCAGCAGATCAGAACCAGTGGGAATACTCAAGTTCCCTTTGCACACCAGCACCTCCCCAGAACACCCTCCGCAGGCCAACCCCACAGGTAAGGGCGAGAGGAAAGGAGCAGAGAGGGAGCTCCACTCCATCCCGAGGGTGGGGGTCAAGACAGGCATCTGTTCCACACCAGGCAGGGTGGACCACAGCAAGGCCACAGGGTAGTTTTTACATTCAAAGATTGGCTGAAATAGTAGAAATGAACTTTCCTCATCTCGGTGCCTCCCT